AGCGGCACAGGGGTGTCAGAAATGGGCCTAAATAATTCCGCCATGGGGTTTAGGGTGGAAGAGGGAGAACTCTCATTTGGTTCAGCTGGTCGAGACTGAAATCTTGTCTCCATCCCAGGATACACCAGGGTTGTGTCCTCCTCCTCAGACTCACTCTCAGATGTGCAGAATAGGGGTAAGTTAGCTGCAGGGGGCTCACTGTCTGTTGGATGGCAGCTTTGGTCTAGCACTTCTGTTCTGCCTGGCTGCCCTGTCGTGGCCCATCTCATAAGGGGTGCTTACCAATTCCCCCACAGGGAGCAAAAGGTTTCTATGCACTGTCTTTATTTGCCCTGGACTGTCTTCAGGTTTGATCTTGTAGACCGGCAGATCTCCCAGCTTTTCCATCACCAGGTAAGGTATTGCCTTCCATCTGTCAGTTATCTTGTGTTTGCCAGCAATACCCAAATTTCGCAGCAGGACTCTGTCCCCCGGCTGGAGCTCCTGAGATCGCACTCTAGCGTCATATCGATGTTTGTTGCAGTCTGCGTTCTTCCGAGCCGCAGCGGTAGCTAAGCGATAAGCATCCCGCAGCTTTTCTCTTAGTCGGGATACATATTGCTGATGAGTTTCATAGCTATCTCCATCCTCTGATACACCAAAGCACAAGTCTATGGGTAATCTTGGTTCTTGCCCAAACATCAAGAGATATGGGGTGACTCCCGTGGCATCGTTCTTTGTGGCATTGTAGGCATGCACCAGAAATGCGACATGCTGGCTCCAGGTTGCCTTCTGCTCTGGTCGCAAAGTTCCCAACATATCTAATAGGGTTCGGTTGAACCTCTCTGGCTGAGGATCACCTTGGGGGTGATAAGGCGTTGTCCTAGACTTTTTAATTCCTGCTATCTTCAGCACCTCCTTCAGAAGGTGACTCTCAAAATCCCGCCCCTGATCAGAGTGTATCCGAGCCGGGAATCCATAGACTGAGAAATATTTGTCCCACAATACTCGAGCGACGGTGGTGGCCCTCTGATCACGTGTGGGATATGCCTGTGCATACCGTGTAAAATGGTCAGTCACTACTAGAATGTTCCCAACATTCCTCTTGTCTACCTCTACAGACAAGAAATCAATGCATACCAATTCCAAAGGTTTGTTGCTGGTGATGTTCTTGAGATATGCAGCCCTCGTGGGCAGAGTTTTCCTTTGAACACATCGAGCGCAAGTCTCATATTTCCTGCGAACATCTTCAGCCATCCGGGGCCAATAGTACCTACTACGAATAAGTTCCAGGGTCCTCTCCATCCCTAAATGCCCAAAGTCATCATGCAGGGCCCTCATGGCCAGGGCTCTGTACTTTTTTGGCAGTACTAGTTGTGCTCGTTGTTTTTGTAAAGAGTCAGTGGTCATTCGGTGTAGCACTCCCTGAATCAGTTTTAGTTTGGTCCATTCTCTCAATAGTAGTTTACCCTCCGGGTTAGGTGGGACAACCGCAGCTGGGCTTCGCCCCTCCCTTTTGGCAAGTAGTGTATCACGAATGTCAATATCTTGCCGCTGGGCTTCTTGCCAGTCAGCCGCATTGAGCATGGGCAAAGGAGATTGGTCCAATGCAATATAGTTCACTGAAGCAGAAGGCATGCATTCGGGGGCAGGCCCAAAGCTTCTGCAACACATCCCTGAAGGCTCTCACAGGCCTCTGGCTCTCGGCGACTCACACTGCAAATAGCTCTCACTCCATCTGTGGGTATCACAGCAACTTCTGGAGCCTGCGGACGCCTGGACAATGCATCTGCATCTACATTGCTTCTCCCTGATCTGTACTGAATGCTGAACTCATAGCTAGCCAAGGCGGCCACCCATCTCTGCCCTGTAGCTTCCAGCTTAGCACTTGTTAACACATAAGTCACTGGATTGTTGTCTGTCCACACCTGGAACTAAGCACCATACAAGTAGTCTCGAAATTTCTCAGTGATGGCTCATTTCAAGGCCAAGAATTCCAGCTTGTGGGTGGGATAACGAGTTTCACTATCAGACAATCCTCGGCTGGCAAAGTCTACAGGTTTATGTTTGCCTTCCACTTCCTGGTACAGGACTGCTCCCAGACCCTCCAAACTGGCATCAGTATGCAGGATAAATGGTTTGCTTGGGTCAGCAAAAACTAGGACTGGAGCATGAGTTAGGCAAGTAATGATTTCTCGAAAAGCCCTTTCACATCTCTCATCCCACCGTGGCCCAAATGGTGCAAAGGGGCCATAGTGTCTCTGCACAGGAGGCTTTGGGGACCTCTCCTTATTCTTGGTCTTAGATTTGTTCTTGCTGGACTGATGTCCCCTGGTAAGATCATTCAGAGGCTTTACAATCGTAGCATAGTTTTTCACAAACCTGCGGTAGTAGCCACTAAATCCAAGAAAGGTCTTGAGTTCTCTGTAGTTACTTGGATGTGGCCATGTAGTGAGTGCTTCTATTTTATCAGGATCAGTACTCACACCCTCTTGGGACACGATGTGACCCACATACTTCACTGAGGTTCTGCAGAACTGGCATTTGTCAATTGAAAGCTTCAGACCATAATCCTCCAACCTATCAAGCACTTTAAGAAGTCTTTCTTCATGCTCCTCTAAGGTTCTTCCAAACACAATCAGGTCATCCAAATAAACTAACACTTGCAGTAAATTCATGTCTCCCACAACTCTCTCCATGAGACGTTGAAAGGTGGCAGGTGCTCCAGAAATCCCTTGGGGCATGCGTTCGAACTGATAGAACCCTAATGGGCAGATGAAGGCTGTCTTCTCCTTATCTTCTTCTCCCAGAGGGATCTGGTAGTACCCACTTCGAAGATCCAACACAGAGAACCACTGGCTTCCCAGCAAACAGTCTAAGGCATCTTGCACTCAAGGCATAGTGTACTGGTCGACCACAGTACGGCTGTTTAGGGTGCGGTCGTCAATACACATCTGGATTTTCCCATTCTTTTTACAGACTACCACAATGGGCGAGGCGTATGGGCTGCGGGACTCTGTAATGATGCCATTCGCAGCCAGCTCCTGAAGATGATGTCGCACATCTTCCATCTCAGAGAGAGCAATCTTCCTAGATCTCTCCCTGAAAGGTCGAGAGTCATGTAGTCTGATATTGTGTTCTACTCCTTTTGCACATCCCATTCATGCAGTGAGAACACCTTGGATCTTTCACAAAGTTTCTTCCTCAGGCGATCTTTCCACTCCTCGGACACTGGTGAATCTCCAAAGTCAAACTTTGCTGGGTCTATCGTCAGAACTTGAGTTTCACACTGGGGGGTTACAATTGACTCGGGCTCAAAGAGGTCTGCTATCTTTTGTCCTTGCTTCACAAAAATATCACGACTCATTTCATTAGCAATCAGTATAGTCACCTCTTCCTGGGCTTCAGCAGGTAGGGTTATGACTCCACTAAGAACCAGCACTCCTTCAGGAAGCCCTCCCTCGGTCGGCTGCTCTACCACTGCTAATGTTCTCTTACTGCCTTTCAGGCAGGTACCCAAGACAATCCACCGGGTTACTCTCGACTGATAAAAGAGGTCCGAGAGGAGGAAGAGAGGCAGGCAGCTGGTGAGGTTTGGGAGGTTCAGCCACCCCAGGCAACTGCCACAACATCCATACGAACGCCCAAGGCGCTGATGATGAATCCTCAAGAGGAACTTACCCAACGAGTGCAGGTCCTGACACAGAAAGTGACTGAACTAGAGAATACTATCGATTCAGCAAAGACTTCAGGGTACAAGGAACCCCCCGTTACCATGGTCCAGAAGACTACATTTAGAACCTCTGCCCCACCCCGGCAACACGGGAAAGGGCAATCCTTCTTCTGCTACCGGTGTGGCCAGGATGGGCACATTGCTGCCAGGTGTCAGAATGCAGAGAATCCCCCGCTAGTATACCAAAAGCTGAGGACCACCTGGGGGAAGTCGGGAAACGGCCCCAGGGCCTGGGAAGGGAGCCACCTAGGCCTGCAGGGTTTGGAGGCTCCCCTGCGAAGAACCATGCCACCCGAATCCTACCAGGATTGATAGGACCTCGAGCTGAGGTCACTGTAAAGGTTGAAGGGACAGAATGTAGAGCAGTGCTTGACACGGGATCCCAAGTGACTATCATATTCCAGTCTTTCTACCAGCAGATGCTTATGCATCTGCCTATACAGCCCTTGACAGGGCTTGGCCTGTGTGGTCTCAGCATGGATGAATACCCTTATCAGGGGTATGTCATTGTACACCTGGAATTCCCAGAAGAGATCGCTGGGGTAAGACAGGAGGTGGACACTGCAGCTTTAATATGCCCTGACCCTAAAGGTGTCTCTGATGTGTCCGTGCTAATAGGGACCAACTCCAGCCTCTTTAAGGTACTTGCAGATTACTGCAGACAGCGAGCAGGGGACCAATACCTGAATACCTTGGTGATAACTTATACAAACAAATAATTAAAAACAGTGAAAAATCAGTTACTGTAGGAAAAGGGGTCCGTCCAGCTCAGGCAATAGCAAGAGCAGATAGGTCAAATTTGCGAAGGTTGCATGGATCTGAATCTTACCTCTATGTCAGTTGACAGAATTAATTTAAACATACACAGACACAAAACACAATTTGTGTGTGTGTGTAAAAAATATTGACTGAATCCTCAATACAGTCTCCTTTGGGCAGCTTAGTACATCATCTCAGACAGAGACTAGCTGCCTTATCTGGGCAGGGGGCTGCACTGCGCATCAAACCATATGGAGATACAGGGTGCTGCTGAGAGCGTCTCCCACTTCCTGAGCCCCAGCTCCAGCACCCTGCCTTTGGTTTTATATATCTGGCCCTCTCCTTCCTCTGCCCTCGCTACACAGTGGCCACATCCCACCCCTCCAATTTGCCCCTTTCTCCCACCTTTATGTCTGTTTTGCAGGAAGCAGAGTCTGCCAGTAGCAAAGGCAGAGTGAGGGGAGGGCAGCAGCTGCTACTGCTGCTCAGCAGATGAGGGTTGAACTTCCTGGGTCAGACGCTGCAGCTGCTGCAGCCTCCCTCACCTCCTCCATTGTGAGCCGGGGCGGAGCCGCTGCTGCCGCTGCCCAGCGGGGTGGGTGCGGGGAGAGCCCTTCCCTAGCGCCCCTCGGGGCCCAGCCGCGGGGACTTTCTGCGGGGGCTGGAACCAGCCCCTGGGGCAGCCCTGGGCTCTGCCGATACCAGCCCCTGAGCCGGAGCCTGCAGGTGAGGGGAGAGACCCGGGGAAAGGGCTGGGGCTGGGCAGGAAAGTGACTCTGCACCAACGGCCCCTCCTCGCCCCAGCTCTGCTCCCGGGGGGGCGGGGGTCTGCGAGTCCCAGAGCTGCTGCCCTCCCTGACCCCCCCACCCCCCTCCCCGGCTCTGCCCCCCTGAGCGCCTGCAGGAGCCGAGCCAGCGCCGGGAGAGCGACCGCTCCGGGCCGGGCCAGGGACCGAGTCTCCCAGCCCGAGGGGAGGGAAGATGGGGCAGAGACTGGCAGGGGCAATGGGATTTTTTTCCTGGACAAGCTGAGGCGCAGGGAGAGGAAAAGCCAGTTCCTGCCTCTGCCTAGTCTCCGCGCTTCTGGGGGGATGCTCTGCCCTGGGGACAGTGTCAGGGGGAATCTTTCAAAGTGGATCCTTGAATCTTTACAGCTGGAGCACAGAGTGACACTGACAGTTACTGTTGGCTGCACAATTTCAGACTCAAGGAGCCTCTTCAGTTGCTTATAACATCCTCACAGTTACTAGATGCATCTGGCCTCTCATGTAGTCTGGCAATTGCTATGTTTATCTTTACAGTTTCTGTCCTCTGTGAATTTATTTTGGAAAGTTTGATGAGAAGCCAATTAGCCTGTTAATGAAAAGGGAATGGGAACAAAAGCAAGTTACAATTTTACCATTACAAAAAGGATTGTTTCCTTTTAACCAGTTCTAGCGCTTTAAGAATTTCGACTAGACATTTTACATTGACAAAGAAGGAATTCCTATGTCAGACACAGTTCTCTCTCTAGTCTGGCAAAATCTCTTTTGCCAGAGACTTTTTAGAGAATGTAGGCAACAGCCACAAATGTGATTCATGGGAGGGAGAAAAATCCTTCCATTGAGAAACATCAAGAGCTCAATATGTTTAGTTTATCATGAAAAATAAATATATTGGAAGACTGGGAGGTGACTTGATTACATTGTATGAGTACCTTCGGGGACAGAAAATAGTGGTAATAAAGGGCTAGCATAAGCTGGTATCTGGACGCTGAAGCCAGATAAATCCGATTAGAAATTAGGCATAAATTTTAATAGTGGAAGTGATTAATCTCTGGAACAAATTACCAAAGAAGTGGTAGATTCTCTGTTTCTTGATGTCTTCAAATCAACACTGGATAACTTCTAGAAAATATGTTTTGGCCAAACGTAGGCCTTTGAGGAGATGCAGGGTTAGCTGGGTAACAGTTAATGGTCTCTGACATACAGAAAGTCAGACTAGATGATCCAGTGGTCCTATCAGGCCTTAAACTCTATAAATTTTAGGATCTCATTCCACAAACACTCACGTGTTTAATATCAAACTTCTGAGTGGTCTCCTGGATTTCACTTAATCTCTGTGACTGAGAGGATTTAAAAATATCTCTGTGGGTTTAGTTCTGGTAGGAGGAGATGGGTCTGTACTATAAATAAAGTGATGAAGGATGGGATCTTTAAATACAGGAGCACAATTTAGACACCTAAATCCAAATGTAGGCCGCTAATTTAGCATTCCCCTAGAATGGTAGAAAAAGTCTGGGGGAAATCAGGGTTTGAAATGGACTAAATCCCTTCTGAAACTTCCGAGTCACACTTCTTGCCCTGACAGGTTGCAGAATAACATCCACATTTCGCTCCAGGTCATCCAGTCCATGGAGAGACAGGGAAGGGAAATGGCTGCAGTGGAGCTGGTGACCTTCGAGGAGGTGGCTGTGTATTTCTCCAAGGAGGAATGGGCTCTGCTGGACCCAGGTCAGAGAGCCCTCTACAGGGATGTGATGCAGGAGAATTATGAGACTGTGACCTCACTAGGTAAGGATTCCTGTCCTCTCTGGTATTAGAAGCTGGGGGCGGGAGGGCTGAAAAATAGCTGCGTTGTCTTCTGTGCAGGGTTCTTCAATGATTCTCCCCCCCCACCCCGCCCATGCTTCAAGGGGTCAGTCTATATACTCCCCAGCTCCTGTGTGTGAGAGACTGTCCCCTCCACATGCCCTCACACAGGACAGCAGAGTCAGGGATATAACAATGGTGCTACCCTTCCATAACCAAGGTTTTCAAGCGAGACAAACTCACTCTCTCTTCACCGTTCCTGGGGTTACTTCCGTCCTCTTGGGCCTCTGAGCACTTTGTGACCTCAAAGCTGGACAAGTGTCTCAGCTTTGCCTAAGTGGCCAGATTTTCAAATGAGCTTTATCTGCATCTTGCCTACGTTCTGCCTCAGCCAGTTGTTTTAGCAGGAGGTACCAAGGTGTTCTTCCCTCTTCTACTAGTCCGGAAGGGCATGTACCAGTGTTATGGGGCTGTGGCCAGTTTCTGCTAATGCTTCTTTCTTGTGCCAGTGTGCTGAATTCTTGCAAGGAGGCTGTTGTTCCTGGTGTCTGTCCCTCACTGGGGTTGATTTCTGTGAAATTATGATTTCTCTCAGTGAGAGTCATTGAGCTCTGCACTGAGTGAGGGCTTATGAAGTAATTTAAAATCTGGGAGTACTATTTGTGGAACATCACTAGAGTAGAAAAAAGTGAGGAGGGGTCTTGTGTTTCAGGCGCTGCACTTGGAATCAGAAGACCTAGGTTCAGTTTCATGCACTACTACACACTTGAAGCTCTTGTAAGTCTCTGAGGCTGTGACTTTCAAAGATACCCAAGGGAGTTAGACATCCAGCCCCTGCTAACTGGGTTGTCAGGCCACTTTGAAATTCAATTTTAACCTCTCTGGTCCCACAAGAATGAGCTGAGGTCTGGAAAATCTGCCTTTGAGTAAAAGCTTTGCTTCACTACCGTGCTAAATCAGCACCACTGCGATTGATGCTCTCCCATTGACATAATTACTTCTCCTCAATGAGAGGCGGAACTTATGTCAGCAGGAGAGCACAGACACTGCATTAGGTCGATTGTAAGTTACATTGCTCAGCGGGCGGGGTTTTTCACACCCCTAAACAATGTAATTTACATCAATTTAAGCCATCGTATAGACAAGACTTGAGAGACTTATGGAGCTCAGTCTATTAAGTTCATCCAGAAGAAGGTTGAGAGGTGTTTTGAAGACATAAGTGCCTACATGAAGAGAAAATTTCTGATACCAGAAGGTTCCTTAATCTAGCAGCCAAAGTCAGAATGTGATTCAATGAGTAGAAGCTGAAGATGGGTGAATTCAGGCCAGTCATAGTCAATGGAGTACATTACCCAAGGGTGTGGTGGAGTCTTCATCATTTGGATGTCTCTTTCTAATAAATATAGTCTAACTCAACCACAAGATATGGGATTGATGGAGCAATCTTTGGGTGAGGTTCTCTGGCCTGTGTTTGATACAGGAGGTCAGACTAGATGTTCATAATATTCCTGTCTAGCCTATACATCTAAAAACATATGTTTGCAGATTTGTACATTAGTTGGAAAGCCAGTCAGTCCTGTGGCTGGTCTCAAGGCCCAATTCAGCAAACCATCACTAGTCACAAAGCACCTACGCAGGTGCTTAATTTCATGAAAGTCAATGGAACTCAAGTGCTAAATTTAAGAGATTTGCTTGACTGGGCACCTGGGAGATTATGGGGATGCGGTAGTTGAATTTGTTGGGATGCATCTTGCATCTAGGGAAAATATGACTTGAGATCAGCAGAACAAGGACAATGGACTTCAAAAAGCAGACTTAGAGAATTAGTAGGTATGGTTCCATGGGAAGAAAATCTAAGCAAAAAAGAACTGAAAGAGAGCTGACACTTTCTCAAAGAGACAATATTCAAGGCACAGCAGCAAACTATCCTGATGTGAAGAAAGGTAGGAAAAATAGTCAAGAGGCCAATATGGCTGCATCAGGAGATTTTTCAATAACCTGAAAATTGAAAAGGAATCCCACCAAAGTGGGTACCTGGAGAGGTTGTGGAGGATGGAAATGAGAGGGTAGTAGGAGCATGTAGGGACACGACTGGAAAGGCTAGGGCACCAAATGTGTTGCACATAGCAAAGAATGTAAAAGGCAATAAGAGGTTCTTTAAATACATTAGGAACTAGAGAAAGATGAAGGAAAGTGTTCTCTACTTGGCAGGGAAGGAGAGCTAATAAAAGGCAACATATTTTGCTTTAGTCTTAACTAAAAAAGTTAATTGTGACCAAATGTTAACCACATCTACTATTAAGAAGGAAGGCACACAAGCCAGAATAGGAAAAGAACAGGTTAAGAAAATACTCTGTTAGATTTATTCAAGTTGTCAGGGCCCCACAAAATTCACCCCCGGTACTTAACCAACTAGATGAAGCAATCTTGAAAGCAGGATCAATTTTCTTTCAGAACTTATTGAGGAGAGTGAGGTCCTAGAGGACTGGAGCAGGGCAAACATGGTACCTATCTTTAAAAGGGGAACAAAGAGGACCTTGGGAATTATAGATGAGTCAACCTAACTTTGATACCTGGAAAGATTCTGAACCAAATTATTAAACAGTCAATTTGTAAGCACCTAGAGGATAATGAGATAATAAATAATAGCCAACATGTATTTGTCAAGAAAAAACCATGTCAAACTAACCTAATGTCCTTCTTTGACAGGGTTACTGGCCAAGTGGCTTGGAGGAAGCACTAGACATGATTTATCTTAATTTTAGTAAAGCTTTTGAAATCGTTCTATATGACCTTTCTCATAAGCGAACTAGGGAACTGTGATACAGTACTACTGCTGAGAAGGAACTCTGGGTTATAGTGGATCACAAATTGAATATGAGTCAAAAATGTGATGTAGTTGTGAAAAAGGCTAATATGCTGAGGTGTATCAACAGGAGTGTCATATGTAAGACCCAGGAGGTAACTGTCCTGATCAACTCCGCACTGGGGAAGTCTCAGCCGGAGGACTGTTTCCAGTCCTGGGTGCCACATTTTAAGAAAGAAGTGGACAAATTAAAGGGAGTCCAGAGGAGAACAACAAAAATGACAAAAGTTTCAGATTTTGTCATGGATATTTTTAGTAAAAGTTACAGGCAATAAAGAAGAATTCATGGAAACCGGAGACCTGTCCATGATTTTACTAAAAATATCCATGACAAAATGGGGAGGGAGAAGGCTCCAGCACCCATCGCTGCTGGGGCTCTGGAGTTCCCCACCGCCCATGGTGGTTGGGCAGCTCTGGGGGACCCACCATTCCTGACACTTGGAGCTCCAGGGTCCCCCCACCACTCATTGCTCAGAGCTGCGGGGGGCCCCCACTGCCCACGGTGGTCATGAACTGTGGGGTTCCCTCACCGCCCATGGCAGCTTGGATCTCCCCCCACCCTCAGTGGCCACCTGGATCTGAGCCACCAAGGGCAGTTGGGGGACTCCGCAGCTCCGAGCCACCGTGGGCTGAAGTCATGGAGGTCTCTGGAAGTCATAGATTCCGTGACTTCCACAACCTCCATGACAAAATCATAGCCTTAGACATAATGAGACATAATCCCCAGCCCAATAAGATCACAAGGTATCTTCCTCGTCTGGCTTGTGTTAGGGAGTGACTTGTGTGTGTTGGAAGAGGGTGGTATATTTGGCAGTGATGGAGACTTGATTGTACCCCATATGTCTAGAGAGCAAAATGATTCTGCTCATCTCCCTAGAGAAATATGTTATGGCAATTCCCTAGGCAGAATGGATGAACCCTTGGTCTAGACCAGCGTGTCAAGGGATCTGACTGATTTATAGCTCAATTCTTGTAGTGTGGGGGTGGGGAGAGGAAGGACCCTTTCTGGGTTGCTTATTCAGCTCCTGGATCTGGAAGTAGTAACATCACTCACTTAATGAACAAGATCAGCACTTATTTCCTTCCCCCACCGATGCAGGATTTCCAGTTTCCAAACCCAGTGTGACCTCCTGGCTGGAACGAGAGGAGAAACTGTGGGTCCCCAGTCTCCAGGAATGGGGGATTCTGAGAGATGCCTACACAGGTGAGGAATCAGAAACCAATTATTGAATCCTCATGGCAGATGTCACTTAGGCATTTTCATCAAGGCTGTCTGACCCTTCAGCCCCTGCCTTCATCTGTATTTGAAGGATAGGTCCCCTCCTCTCTCTCTCCTCTGGGGCAGGTTTTGGAGGTGGGTAGGGTTCAGCTGCTGATATTTCAATCTCCTCAGCAGTTACTTTGGTTTGTTCTGCCCTTTGCTGTTCCCCTTTCTGAGGTTCCTTTTCCCCCTGGCACAGGGAATGACTTGTGTCTGGATTCTCTTTGTCTCAGCAGGTGATAGGATGGTGAATGAGAACAAGGAGGAGAATCAGGAACATCCTGAGCAATTGGAACTGCACAGGACATCAGGAAGATCTGAAGGGGAGGCTTCCCAGATTCCTGAGCATGGAGATGCTGCCCCTCTGGCCTGCACTGACTTTTGCATGCAAGAAAACCAGCCGGGGCAGAGACAGTGTAAATCCTCTGACCAGAAAATATGGATCAAGAAAAACAAAGACACTGTTCAACAGAGAATCCCCATTGGTAAGACACCCTACACATGCGGTGACTGTAGGAAAAGTTTCAGGTGCAGATCACAACTTACTAGACACCAAAGAACCCATACAGGAGAGAGACCCTACACATGCCTGGACTGTGGGAAAAGATTCAAACAGAGCTCAGCCCTAATTACACATCGTACAGTCCACGAACGAAAGAAGACCTATAACTGCCCTGACTGTGGGAAAGGCTTCAGTCGGAGCTCAACCCTTATTCAGCATCAAAGAATCCACACAGGAGAGAAACCTTATGAATGCAGTGAGTGTGGGAAAAGCTTCCGTGTGAGCTCAAATCTTCTATCACATCAGAGAACCCACACAGGGGAGAAACCCTATGAATGCCTTACTTGCGGGAAAAGCTTCATTCAGAGCTCAAACCTTCTATCACATCAGAGAACCCATACAGGAGAGAGACCCTACCAATGCAATGAGTGTGGGAAAAGCTTCAGTCAAAGTTCATCCCTTATTAAGCATCAGAGAATTCATACAGGAGAGAAACCCTATAGCTGCCCTGACTGTGGGAAAAGCTTCAGTTACAGTGTAGAACTCAATGATCATCAGAGAACCCACACAGGGGAGAGACCCTATAAATGCAATGAGTGTGGGAAAACCTTTAGTTGCCTCTCACACCTTCGATCACATCATACAACCCACACAGGAGAGAAACCATATAACTGCCCTGAATGTGGGAAAAGCTTCACTCGCAGGTCAACCCTTACTACTCACCAGAGGATCCACACAGGGGAGAAACCCTTTAAGTGCTCCGAATGTGGGAAAAGCTTCCGTGCAAGCTCAGCCCTTTCTGAACATCAAAGAATCCACAGTGGAGAGAGACCCTACAAGTGTCTTCACTGTGGGAAAAGTTTCTATAACAACTCAGCCCTTTCTAATCACCAGAGATCCCACACAGGTGAGAGACCTTACACATGCAATGAGTGTGGGAAAAGCTTTAGAAGCAGCTCACACCTTCTGTCACATAAGAGACTCCACAGTGGTGAGAAACCCTATAAGTGCACTGACTGTGGGAAAGACTTCCGGCACAGCTCAAACCTCAGTACACATAAGAGAATCCACATAGGACACACACCCTAGAAATGTCCTGGCTAGGATTGGGCCAAGTGAAGGACCTTTTCTGATTCCCATGAATTTTAAAGAGTCAGGCCAGGCTGTAGTGGCTATGTAACTAGGACATGAAATGTTTATTAAAGCAGAAAATGAAATCATCTTCCTGGGACAGAGCCATGCAGAGCAAGAGGCTTAGATAAGATTTGCACATTGTAACTGCATTTGATTTATGACTTCTCAAGAAACTGTGAACATCCTCCTTCATCTCCCAGTTTTACTTTTGATGTTCTTACAGGGGTAGTCAATTATTTTTATCAAGGTCCAGATTTCTTGGTCAAAGTATAGTCAAGGTTCAGGCTTCAGAGCAAATAATAATAATAAAAAACAACAATAACAAAAAGATTTTTGGGGCCCATTCAAAAGTGTCTGGTGGCCCGGATTTGGCCTATGGTTGACCTATTGACTCCCCCTGACCTAGAACCAGCTTCATTTTATAGAATGTGACTTCTAATTTATACTTGATAGTGTTTTAGACCTCGATGCTCCAAGGGACTGAGGTGCTGTGACACTTGAGGATTGCAATACCTAACTTTTAGGTACCTAGAAAATCACAGATACCACACTGGGATCCACAAAGCCTGAGTTAGCAGGCTAGGCTCCATAGAAAATGAATGGGGTGATATAGGCATTTTAGATTGTGATTCACAAAGGCCAGCAGGTGGGGAGCCACCAAAGCTAGCCAATGGGACATGCCAATGAAAGTGGTGTGGTCTAAGCCCCATCCCTCTCACAGAGATAGGCGCCTCCCTGGTCTTGCAATTCATGATGGGGCATGTTCTGTTAGGCATGTTCAGAGGCCATGTAACTCAGCACAAAACAACGGGGGATTGAGGAGGAGAAAGACAACATTCTTTGTAACCTTTAGCACAGATGTGGAAGACCCTTAGTTCAAGTCCCTCCTCCACCTGATGAGGTAAAAGAATTTGAACATGGATCTGCCCACTCTCAGAGTAGTACCCTAGCCACAGAGCAAGTCTGGCTGTGGGACTCACTCGGTCTATCCGAGTAAAACAGTTCCACTGTATATAAATACTTAGTCATTGGGCCAGAGAAAGAAAGTGAGACTAACTCAATAGTCTTGTGGTGAGATCACCTACCTGTCAGGTGGTAACCTTGTCTCCAGATCCTTTGCTCTAATGACTCCTTACATTGACGTTATCCTAACTTCCACCATGAAGAAGACTGCACACTGAACAATGGAATGAAGGGTGAGAAATTCTACCTACTTAAAAGTGCAGAAAGATTTCAATTCTTATTGCTAAAATTCTATAGGGAATTTCTGTGCTTTAAAGGAGGTCAGAATTTGACCTTGGAGAGAATAATTATTGTTTTCCTAGAACACTGAACCCATTGGAGTTGAGTTCTTTTCCATTAAACCAGACTCTTGGGCTCTTAGGCGCTCTTAATTGGAAAATACCAAACTCATATAAACCTAACAACTTACTTCCAACTATAAAATATTTCCTAATTTCAAATGGTGCAAAAGAAAAAAGAATTTCACTAGCAATAGTGATTTAAAAAATCGAGCCTTAAAGCAGTTTAAGATTGGGGGAAATACTCTGAAGAGCATAACTGGGCTAATAGAATTTGAAAATGACAACATTGTAACTGAGGCTTTGTCTACACTAGCACTTTTGTCAGCAAAAATTGTGTGGCTCAGGGGTGTGGGAAAAAAACACACCCCTGACCAACATAAGTCTCACTGACAGAAGCACCAGTGTGGACAGCACTATGTCGGTGGAGACGGTCTCCCGCCGACGTAGCTACCGCCGCTCATTGGGGGTGGTTTAATTATGCTGGTGGGAAAGCTCTCCCCCGCCGGCATTGACTGTCTATACAGGAGACATTACAGCAGCGCAGCTGCTGTGGTACAGCTGTGCTGCTGTAAGGTCCATAGTGTAGGCATAGACTAAAACTGAGCTGGTGCTGATTAAACCGCATGCTTTCCACTGTAGCTGCCAGAGTTATTCTTCACACCTTGCGTCTGTAATGTTGATGTCACTTCACTTAGTTTACTGCTTAATAGAGCTACCCTTCAAATCTTTTTGGTTTGATGAGAACATAACTAAAGTTCAGCTGTTCTTATTGTGTTGTTATATTTTTATGACAGGTTTCAGAGTAACAGCCGTGTTAGTCTGTATTTGCAAAAAGAAAAGGAGTACGTGTGGCACCTTAGAGACTAACCAATTTATTTGAGCATAAGCTTTCGTGAGCTACAGCGCACTTCATTGGATGAAGTGAGCTGTAGCTCACGAAAGCTTATGCTCAAATAAATTGGTTAGTCTTTAAGGTGCCACAAGTCCTCCTTTTCATATTTTAATGGAAATTCATTGTTTGATTACTTTTTGTTCTCTTTCAGCTCAGTTCCTAACTGTAACTGCTACTGAGAACTTGTAACTTTGTTGTTCACTGTTCTACTCTGTCCTGTATTTTACACTTAACCCCTGTGACTGTTCTGTTTTTTACAAGTGTGAGTGACAATTACTTGCAAGTCCTTTGATCTCTCACTCTTGTATCATTACTCTGTATGTGTGAGTGAGGAAAGCTGTCTTCTAACTTCAAAATCTCACTACAATCTTTATTTGTGTGTGTTCTATACTTCAGAATACTTTTATGCTAATTTCAGTTGTGCTGTGTATTTTTAACTACAGAATAATATAATGTGTTAATACCTCACACTACACAGTAGTCTCATTCCAATCTTGGTTTATGAATTTAACTAATTCCTATTTTCTTTGTCTACTTTAAATACCAAAAGCAGGGTACTTTATGATAGTTCTCTTTCTATATATGAATGTTAGTGTTTTTCTGTGGAATTATCTTGAACAATCTCTCTCTCCTCTACCTATTAACTCAAACACCAAAATCTCCCCCTGCAGTACACTATCTGCCTATCAACTTTCTAAGAACACTCCCTAAACCTGCTTGATTAACTTTAATTTGAAAACTTTGGTTACTCAAAAAGAAAAGGAGTACTTGTGGCACCTTAGAGACTAACCAATTTATTTGAGCATGAGCTTTCGTGAGCTACAGCTCACTTCATCAGATGTTTACCGTGGAAACTGCAGCAGACTTTATATACACACAGAGAATATGAAACAATACCTCCTCCCACCCCACTGTCCTGCTGGTAATAGCTTATCTAAAGTGATCACTTTAGATAAGCTTATTACCAGCAGGACAGTGGGGTGGGAGGAGGTATTGTTTCATATTCTCTGTGTGTATATAAAGTCTGCTGCAGTTTCCACGGTAAACATCTGATGAAGTGAGCTGTAGCTCACGAAAGCTCATGCTCAAATAAATTGGTTAGTCTCTAAGGTGCCACAAGTACTCCTTTTCTTTTTGTGAATACAGACTAACACGGCTGTTCCTCTGAAACCTTTGGTTACTCAAATTGCTTTCTGATCTTTCATACTTATAAAATTGCCTACTAATTCCATAAAATCTGAGTTAATCCCCTCTGTTTTACACTGTTGCAAGGGACTGGACTAGATGACCTCTCGAGGTCCCTTCCAGTCCTGTGATTCTTGTACCCCCAGCTTTTGTATGTTTCATTGCAGCCATTTCTAGCTAGAAACGTATCTAAACAATGCTGAATTTTGAGCTATAATAATTATATACATTTGAATTTGCCTTCAGAATGATCCTTAGCTTCACAAAGTTACTTTCTTAATACAGAAGTAAAAAGTCATTGTTTTGCTAGCTTTTGTTAAATTTACACTGTATTCAATTTGATGTCCTATCCAATTTATCTAGTTTTGTCCAAATATGTTTTTAATTAATTTAAAAGATTTAATATCAAATTAATTAGTTTTAATCTAGTTATGTCATTGAGTTAATATTTGGTTTTCTGATATTTCTGTCTACTTGTTGAATTCTGTTGTTAATGCTTAGCTACTAGTGAATTTTAATTAAGTGAATATCATTGAGTTAAATGCCCATAGATGTTTCAGTTTTATACTCAGTTTTGTAACACTAGTCCATCCTATATAGTTAACCGAATTTGTTTTAATTTCCTTTGTTTTAGAATTTCAAGTTTAGTTAAGAGGTTGTTTTAACAGTTACTACATTTTATCAGCCAATTTATTTACTTTTTTTTTAATCTGATGAATCTCATTCACATAATCTTTGTTCATTCAATTGCTTGTTGGTTCCTTCTCTTATTTTTGCTTACTTAAATAAGTGTTTCTTTATTTAAAGTCAATTTCAATTGTTTATTTTGGGACATCCCTTAGTGTATAGAAAAAAGAATCCTTGGTAAATTTTTATGTGGTTACTTTCTGAGCACAGTCTGATTAATAATCATAATAAATAATTCCATTTTTTGGTCTGATTTTCCTGAACTCAACATATGAGAAGCAAGTAATTTATGATTACATTAATTTTCTCCCAATTATGAATTTTGATAATTATTTAGTAATTTTACTTTGAAAATTACCTGTCATCCAATATATTTAGCTTACCCTCTGCATCCCTGTTAATAAGCCATTTTTCTGTATACTTGGACATGAGAAAGGTGCTATATAGCTATACCCCGAGTAGCTGCAGAAGTGTAGTGGAGTTGTAATTTGGAAGACTGAAGGGAAGGAGGAGAAACCTGCTGACAAAGCTAGAGACTGTTGAGCAATGCCTTTATCTTGTGATAAGTGCTTGGTGTGTTCCTCATAACATCTGTGAGAGCAGATGACTGGGAAGTAGAGGTGGAGGGACTTGTCTGGCTGTTCATAAGATCCAGAAATGGGCCTTTACAAGGTGACCCAAGTAGTAAGAGACACGGGGTCAGGGATATGTTGTGCTCCTACTTTGATGGCAGAGTGTAGTAGTAGAAAATGAATGTGCTTTAACTAAGGAAAAGAATTCAGTGACTCTGTGAAGATTTTATTAATTGATTTTATGAGGGGAGCTGTACCTCAGTGAAATTTTTCAGCTGAGTTGTACATGATTAAAAAAAAAATCCATTTAACACAACACAGGACAAATTTCAAACCTATGGACATGTGGCAGAACATACCCAAAGTGATGAGTGCACACATGGCTATGCTGGTGGGCTCACAAAAAGGTGTAGGTGGAAACTGTTCTTCTTGTCTAGGTGGAAGGAGTGGAATGGGCAGGGCCTGCCATCTGAGAGAGTGAAAGGGGGTCCCAGTATCCTGAATTCTTGTCCTTTGTGTTCTTGTAGCACTGGTGGAGACAGGCCTGCCGATGGGGGTGGAGCAAAGGACGCAAATGTCCAGGGGCCCAGGAGCCCCTTGCCACCGCCAGCAGCGCAGCAGGGCTAAGGCAGGCTTCCTGCCCGCCCTCACTCCGCACTGCTCTACGAAGCCGCTGGCACGTCGCTGTGGCCCCTGGGGAGGGGGTCTCTGCACGTTGCCCTGCCCCAAGCTCTGACTTCCCAGCTCTCATTGGCCGGGAATGGCAGCCAATGGGAGCTGTGGGGGCAATGCTTATGGGCAGCAGCGCACGGAGACCCCCAGGGCCCCGTGCCTAGGAGCTGATGCCAGAGGGGATGTGCTGGTTGCTTTCGGGAGCTGCCCAAGGTAAATGCTGACCCCCTCCTGCACCCCAAACCCCTGCCCCCACCTAGAGCCCGCACCCACACCCCCTCCTGCACCCAAATTCCCTCCCAGAGCCTGCACCCCTCCCACACTCCAACCACCTGCCCCTGGTGGGGGAGAGCGAGCGACGGAGAGGGGGGATGGAGTGAGCAGGAGGTGGGGCCTTGGAGAAGGGGCGGGGCAAGGGTCCTTGGGTTTGCGCAATTAGACAGTTGCCAATCCTACTGGGCGGGCATGTGGAAGCCCTGGCTGTGCTGGAAGAGCATGCCCAGCAGCACAGCCAGCAGCTTGCTGGGCACCAGCACTGCACAAATGTCAGGCGGATCATGTCCACGTGGGCGCAGCTTGTGCGTGCGTGGGAGCCCATTGACTGTGCTGCCTTGGGGCCCAGAATTGCTGTCAGCGGGCTTGGCTGGAGATTTCTTTGGTGCAACATTGAGCCATGTCTTAGGAATGACCCTTCTCCTGCATGTGCTCTGCCAGGCGCGCACAATCCTGGCATTCTGCTAACACGTATTCACATGGACAGGCTTTAAACTAGGTTCATCGGGGGAAGGAGACCAAAGCCCTGAGGTAAGTGGGCAGGTGGGATACTGGGAGGAAGCACAAGCAGGACAGCGCGAGAAGGGAGGGCTCCTGCCTCATACTGAGAAAGCGGGATGATCAGCGAGTTATCTCAAGTGCCTATACACAAATGCAAGAAGCCTGGGAAACAAGAAGGGAGAACTAGAAGTCCTGGCACAGTCAAGGAATTATGATGTGATTGGAATAACAGATACTTGGTGGGATAACTCACATGACTGGAGTAGTGTCATGGATGGATATAAACTGTTCAGGAAGGACAGGCAGGGCAGAAAAGGTGGGGGAGTTGCATTGTATGTAGGAGAGCGGTATGACTGCTCAGAGCTCCGGTATGAAACTGCAGAAAAGCCTGAGAGTCTCT